CTGATTCCAACACAACTATTTTTAAGAATGAACGTACTATTCACATGAAGTAAGTTTTCGATAACTTTACGACCTTCAGCGGCTGCTTTGTGTAACTTAAATATGTGATAAAGTAGACTTCTCAGAAGCTTCTGCAACATTTTCAATGATTTCGTAGCCGTGATTCTCTTGCAAACACAAAATTTCAAGCAAACTCGCTGTTCAACTTGTTTTAATGGTAAAAATCGCCAGTCAAATTTCACGATGTAAACAAACAACTGCTAAATACATACTAATTGACATAAAGAGATCAAACTGCACAGGAATACAAAAAGGTTGTGCCATTTTTGAATTTTTTTTATCAACTCAGTATGTGCGCAGTTTAAATGGATCAGTTCGTGGCAAATTTGATAGTCTCCTAGAATATATTCTTATTTAATGCACTTTGATGTGCAAACTTCTCTCTTATATATGAGTACCACCCTAATGTACATAAACAGGTATGAAATGCTCTAGGCATTTTAGCTTGCACCATTTACCAACAGATTGGTGGGAAAAGTCAACCCGGAAGCGGATGTGTGTTGTTAAAACGAATTTACGCGGATGATGTCGAACGCAGAGGCGGCAGATGCATACATTAAAAATATATTATATATGTATGCCTATATGTATATGTACGAATTACAATACTATTGTACGTTTATACCGGGATTTAAGATATACCATATATATAATTAAGAGCTGAATTCAATGTTTAAAATGCTTCTCCGATTTTCATGATTTATTGTTCCTGTGAATGGTGATAAGGTGGAGCATTCAGCAAAAGATGATTGTTCAATGATGTTAATAACATAAACATAAATTAACTGTTAAGCAACAAAAAAGCAAGATCATTTTCTCGTAGGAGGGATTTATAACCCCGAAGCATTATTTATAGTTTTAATCAAAAAGCAAAGAAAGTACTTTCAAAAATCTTATAAAAGACGTTCAAAAAGTTTTATGAATCGAAGAAAATCTCTCAGTGATGTCAAATAAGTAGGTCAAAATAAAAAGTGGTCTTGCGGGAAATTTCTTTCTTCTTCATTACTTTACTGTGCCGCCAAAGCACTTTGAAGATGAGAAACTGGATCCATTGCTCGATGAAGTTTGTTGCCGAACACAAGATGAGCTCGCAAAGCTCTTTGGGTGCCACTCAATCAGCTATTTCAAAACGTTTAAAAGCAGTCGTACACATTCAAAAGCAAGGAAATTGGGTGCAATATGAATTGAAACCACGCGACGTTGAAAGGCGACTTTGCATGTCAGAAATATATTTGTATTTTCATAGGGTTGTGACTATCGATAAAAGATGGACCCATTACCACAACTCTAAACGCAAAAATCATTTATAAAACCTGGCCATCCAGCCGAATTTGTATTTGGTGGGATCAGATGTGCTGTATAATAGATGTGGATGAAACTTTAAATGTAGAACGCTATTGATAACAATACCAAATTGAAGCCAGCAATTACCGAGAAACGGCCGGAATTTGCCACTAGATATACATAGTTTCAAGACCATTTAAAACTATATGGAAAATAGCGGCAGGAAAGTTTTACCTCACCTGCCCAAACCCCGAATATAGCTATAGACGCAATATAAAAATGTCTTTTCTGATTTTAAGATCTGGAACTGCTTAATTAGCGAAGCCCTGTTAACAGATAATCAAAAGTGCAGTATATCAGATAAGATGATTTTCATAAAAATTTCTAGAAACTAGTATTTTTTAGGCAACTTAAATGCTTACACACCATATCGCAGGCGTTGATTAGGTCCAGAAGGTTTTTTTGCGTGAAATTATACGGCACCCAAACATCAAACTTTTTTTTGTATCCAGCCTTCTGCAGATGGTTCAAAATGGTTTGGTGACTAACTCCCATCTCCTGGGCGATGTCACGAGATGCCATATGCCGGTCTAACTCGATGTATTCCATGATTTGATCGGTATTTGTTGTCTCAGGTCTTCCGCCGGCTGGCTTATCCATGGTGTCGTTTTCACCGGCTCTGAATCGTCGAAACCATTCCTCCGCGGTTCGAAGTGATAGACTACCATCCCCCAAAATACCATTAATCTCACGGAACGTTTCTCTAGCGGATTTGCCGTTAACGAAGGAAAACTTTAAAATAGCGCGAATTTCGGCGTTAGTGAACTCCATGTTTACACGTCTATAACTGTTGAACGCAATATCCAAACTAATCATGCATAGCGTTGTTTTGTAGGTTATGTCAAGACCTTTCAAATTATGTAAAGTGTTGCCAGATACGAGCTCTGTAGCGCTTTGTACATAGCCGCGAAATTCAAAAGACAAAAAAGTGGAAGGGAGATATCTGACAACCTTATATAATAATTTTTCTTCGTACACGCAAATGTTTAAAGGTACTTTTTCAAAACTTTTCATATTGAGTCGTAATAAAAAAATTCGTTTCCAATATTTTGCCTCACAGTACACAAAAAAATTGTTTTGTACGAAAAAAATTTTAGAATGTAAATTTTCGATGGAATAACCCATATATATTTCAAACCTATAAAGCCATATTATCCAAATTTGCACAGAACAAATGTTTTCAACCCTTCTTACGACAGGGTGAAAATATATGATATCTCCGCCCACTCCCTATATAATGCTCTTGTTAAAAACTACTAAAAGTTGATAAATCAATAACTAAATGCATCAGAGGCAATAAATTTTACATCCAGGATGACAAGATTAGACGATGGGCCTAGTACCAAAGCGGTATCGCTTCGTTCTATAGGCTCTTGAAAAGTTCCAAGAAGATCTGACATTTTGAGCCAAATTTTGTTCAGCGATGAGGCCCATTTCTGGCTCAATGGGTATGTAAATAAGCAAAATTGCCGCATTTGGGACGAATAGAAACCTGAAGAAATTCAAGAGCTGCCATTTCATTCAGAAAAAATAACAGTTTGGTGTGGTTTGTGAGCGGGGGAATCTTCGGTCCATATTTCTTCAAAAATGATGCCGGTGAGAACGTAACTGTCAATAGCGGGCGTTATCGCGCCATTATAACCGACTATTTGATGCCTGAAATTGAAGCTTGTGATCTCGGCGACATTTGGTTTCAACAAGACGATGCCACTTCCAACATGTCTCATCAATCAATGCATTTATTGAGAGAACACTTGAATGACCAGATAATTTCACGTTTGGGCTGGTCGATTGGCCACCAAGATCGTGTGATATCACACCGTTAAACTTTTTCCTGTAGGGATATGTAAAGGAGGATAAAGTCTGTCCGCATAGACTTCCCGCTTCGATTCAGGCCTTGGATATTTTTTAGAAAATTTTGTCAACCGATGGCCGATTTAGTCTATTAATTTCATTAAAATATCACGCGTTTGGGGCAGCACTATACATCTCATACATATTGGGGGCAGAGAAAAGACTGAGCTTGTTGCTTTACCCTTCATCATTGCCCAGGTATACAGCATATATATATATATATACATACAGACCGACATATTCGACATAAAGTTTGTTAGAATAACGAAAATTAGTAGATTCAGTAAAATAACTATACTTTCACATATTTTCGACATTCAACTAATGTATATCCAATATTATACGCTCCGTGAATTATGCTAAGATATCTACAAATTGACCCTATTTTATCTTGACCTGATTTTATCTATTTATCGCATTATTAGATATTATTAACATAAAAAGATGTTTTCTGCTCTCACTTACTTTTACTAAGATGACTCACCTATCGGCCGATAATTGCGGTATAAAGTCAGCCGAAAGTAAAAAATAAAATATTTCTACTAGGCTAAGGGAAATATGGCACATATTAATCCGATTAATTTCATTGCTGACACCCAGAAAACTATCAACAGAAAAAGGTTCTCTGGTTCTCTCTCTTATAATCCTTACACATTGACTGATATTTTCGATTAAAAATAGCTAGTGGCACTGGGGTCCAAATATTCGGTATCTGGGGTATTTGGGAGCTTGCTACTCTGTAACAAAATTTTGTAAGACTCTCTGAGAAGTAACTTTATGTGTATGTTATGTAACTTTCCAAAAAATTATATAAATTTATACTTTTCTTGCGAATCCAGTTCTCTTTGACTGGCTCTCTTTTCTGCCTGGGTTGATATCATATTTGTATTGCTGAATACTACATAGCAACCCATGCGAGCTTGTGTATATGTGTGTATGTATTATATATTACATTACGTGGCACCACAGATTTATGTGCATCTTAGAAAGCTGGCAAACTTCCGTCACAGACGTTTCCCTATCAGTGTATACGCAAGTTGGTATGCGATGTTGGTATAGGAGAACGGCTACGTAATGTAATCATTTAATATGAATTGTATTGTATTTACTATGGTTTCATTTATGAGCATCTTCTTCAAGCTTTAATGCTGGCATATGTATGTACATATGTATGTACTCTACAAAAAGAAGGAGCATATTATGTAGACAAGATCACGCTATGTTGTAACCAGCATTAGTAACCGAAATGGTTCAAGCATATGGAAAAACAAATTAGTTAGGGCTAAGTTCGGATGTAACCGAACAAAGACCAAACCCGTGAACAAGAACTTTTTTCCGATCGTTCAGTTTGTATGCTAGCTATATGCTATAAAGTAGTCCGATATCGGCCGTTTCGATTTGCCGATATAAGGACTGGTACAAAATTTTAGATCGATATCTCCAAAACTGAGAGATTAGTTCATACAAGTATATGTATATACCGGCGGATGGACAGACGGACATGGCTAAATCGACTCAGCTCTTCTCGCTGATCATTTCTATATACAAACTTTTTAGGGCCTCCGACGTTTCTTTTTGGGTGTTACAAACTTCGTGGCAAACTGTTTAGGGTAAAAAAAAATAAAAATTTAATAAATTCACTTATTCATAACTTTTTCACATTATCCTTAATTATACGACAACGTCAATTACAAACAACCACATTGCTTTTAGAGCAATAATTATTTTTAAATAAATTAGAATTTTCTTTCCAATTATTAGTATTTTTCCATTTATTATATTTCAAAATAGCCGTTATATAGAAATCTCGGTAATAGCTCCCGTAACTCATCCAGCAATTTTGGATTCTCCAATTCTTTTCTTTGTATCTCCGGATTTTCGACCACCTCGCCAATGTCTAAATTCTCATTGACAAATGTATAGTTGAATAATAGGAAGCAAAGGAGTAAATAAAGCCCTGTTTAAGTAAATTTAAAGTAATTGTTTTAGTTCTTAATATCATTAATATTCACAATTTAAAAATTAAATCTGTTGTCTGCCATATTCGACAGAAGCTGCTGAATCATAACAATCTGCTCATATTCAGTCATTACTCAAACACACAAATTATTTTTGTATGGAATATTTAATTTTAATATTATTGATGTTAGCATCGTGTTGGCATCAGAGAGCTAGCAGAGAATTTTAACATCTCTTATTAATCGACTCAAGATGTTGGTTAATATTTTAGGTATGATATCAATGTTAGATTCGTACCAAAAGACCTGAATCTTTTGCAAAAATGACGACGAGTAAAGGTCGCAAAAGAGACGCTAAACAACGTAGCTGAGGACCCGAAATTCAACAAACGCATGATAACTGGTGACGAGGCGTGGGTTTATGAATGTGACTTTGAAACTGTCCCACAATTTAGCGAATGACGCTTTACAAGTCGAAAAAGACGTCAAAGTCGGTCAAATCAAGGGCATGCTAAACGCTTTTTTTATTACCGGTAAAGAAAAAAAAAATTGGCAATTTTGAGGCGTCTACATGAAGCAATTTGTCGAAAACGTTCGGATTTGTGGGCAAAAATCCATGGAGTTTTCACCACGATAATGCGTCGTCACATTCTAGCATGATCATTTTGCGTCGTAAAACTGCCAAACGCAGACTAATTGACATATGGAGATAAAACTTCAGACGAGCATAAAAATGATTGTACCAATTAAGAAAAAACATATATATCGAGGTCAAATTTGATCTTGAATGTATATGAATTTGTAGCGTTACCACCTCACTTACCCCAATATCTATGTTTTGCCAATTCCAGGCGAATTTCAATATTTGTAGGAATATGACCTTTGTATTCCGTTTTGCGTAGTGTGTTCTGAAAATTCGTGATATAGAAATAGAGTAGTTCATCAAAGTGGTGACGACGTAATTCGGGGCTAAACATCATTGTGAACGCATAGTGAAGATCAATCGCCAGCGATCCGTATATGCTTATCTGATAATCAAGCTGCGCACAGAAATGAGTAAAGAGCAGAAACCATTAAGTTTTGTATTAAGTTATAAAGTAAACTGATTTGCCTACCAGCATAACGTCTGTCAGTTTGTCGTCCTTTTGTTTTATCATTATGTTTTTCAAATGAAAGTCACCATGGTTAAGCACAAAAATGCCATCGCGTTTACCACTGCTGGCTTCGTTGAACGTATCAATCGTCTTTTGGCATAGTAAATGTTCGACGGATGCAATGTGTGGCACGTATTGTTTCAAATCATCGTGTTTGCTTAGAACCTCCTTAATAAATCCAATCCCATATTTAAGAGCTGGAAAGTTATGGGGGTCGACAGAATTCATTGAACCTTTGTCTAAGGTACTTATGATATTGCCTTCCTAAAAAGTTGCGAACAAGTCTATTGATTCAAAATAATATCGATTGAAATTCTAATTTCAAAAAATGTTTTTCTCACCTCCTCTTTGCACAATTTGTAGCTGACCGCATGTAATTTTGCTAGTTTAAGCATTGTAATTTTTATTTCCTCCAAATTAGGATAGCGGTACCCTATTGTGGTGTATCCTTGGAGTGCTAAATCTTCAAAAACCACATACGACGGTGTGGTGGTGCTGACGGCGATGAGCCTTTTCCAAAATACATTTAAAACTTTTATTTTCATTGTTGGTCTTTTGTTGGTTTTTCAATTTATTGTGTACTCACTTTGGTCCCAAAAGGGTTTCGTCGCCATATTGTCGCAGTACCTTTTCAATCATCGGCAGCGCCTTAGTATACATGGTTATTTCCGTATCGAATAAACTATATTTTCCCATCAATTCTTTCCTGTTTCCTTCCTGGAATGCTTCGACTTTTAATATTAACGATGAAACCTTCTCTTGTGTTGGCTGCGACTGTAATCTGTAGTTGACTTTGGCTCGAATTAAAACACTTGCGTAGTTATCATTTTTCAATGTGCCTGGTTTCAGCTCTAAACGGATGACCTAATAAATGAAGTTTTATTTCAAAAACTTGTGAAATTGTAATATGGACACGCACCTGCACGGTTTCAGTTTCGACGTTTTTCAGAACATTTTCGAAAAATGCCTCGTTCAACCACACCGGGAAAGTGAACTCATCTTCGTTGTGCTTTTCGTTATTTGTCATTTCAATTGAAAATTTTCTATCTACCGTGTTTTGTGCACTTACGGACTTTAATTGTAGAATGGAAATAATGTAGAGCGCGAGGCGTACTTTTATACGTAAATGTCGCTTCAAATACTTTAGATTTTTTAGTTGGTTATCTAAATTTACTAGTTAATTTCGCAATGCCTTATCGCATTCATACGAGTTGTGGTTCTGGATGTTGAAGGGAATGCGGAGCTCTTTTTTTGGAGGAAAGAATTTTGTTAACTCACAATGTAAGTAATGAACATTTGTTTTACAGATAGCTCTCTTTTCATTCAATTTCATTGCGATTTGCAGATATGAATTCATGGGTGTGCATATCTCATATGACTGCTGATAAACTTGAAAGTTATTTTAGGCTATCTAGCACGGTTACATATCTAATCATTTAACAGCAACAGATATAAAAATAAGAAGTTTGATACTAAAATAAATCGTTTTAATCAATCTGCTCTCGTTTATGTAGCGACCGCATTTATAGAGATAAGGTTTATAACTTGTCTTTATTTCAGCTTGTGTAGTTACGTAGGCTCAGTTTATTTTGCAGTATTTGTATTTTGTATTTGTAACGGTAATATCACTTATTTGAATTTTATATAGTTAATGAAACCAACGTATTGGCCAAGTAAGAATGATAAATATATATATTCAATTAAAAATATGCCTTCTTTGAAAATTGTGAGAATATAATATGTTTATGTGCGCCCGAACTTAGCTCTTCCTTACTTGTTTTCAATATTTTTTTATATTGGTGAATTGATAATTTATTTTAATATTTATCATTAAGTTATGTAATATGTCCATAGTAACAACAATAAACTTCAAATAGTATCATCATCAGCGCATCGCTTAGTCGATACAGATCACAATTGGTTTGGCAGATATGCATTCGATTTTATACCTAGGATGGTACAAGAAGACTTAATGGAAGCAGTTATCAAGACTTTGCACAAATAGAGTCTTTAACGTATGCCGTCTCAGTCTCAAAATGGTCAAAATCGGACCATAATTGGTCAAGCTCTCAGATACCAAAGTGTGGACCCCAGTGCTAATGGCTTACCTTTAATCAAAAATGTCGGTCATTGTGTGAGGTATATACCTGAAATTCCGAGAGAATACTTTCCTGATAATAGTGTGTGTATGTCTAAAATGGGTTGCATCTAGTGAATACTTCCTTTAGCCCGCATGTACCTAAGAGACAGATTTTTCAACACTCGACAACATGTAAGATATCTTAATAAAATTGAAGAAGCGTCTTTTTCTGGACACGGTGCATCTTTGTGCCTAAAATTATTTGAGTGAAATTTTTCCTTAGCCCCCATAAAACTAATAAAAGGATTTTTAAACATCCGGTTGACTTTACTATTTATATATGAACAACCTTAATGAATCAATGTCATAGGTTAATTAAAGTTTAGACCTTTATCTGCCCCTAATATATTGTATATAGTGATATCAAGCTGACTTTAAACTGTGATCATCCAACTTGCTAAATGTATATGAAAATTGGGTTTTTGCTTGAAGAATTTACTTCGTCGAATACATTTTGCTCAATTAAGCTTGTTAGGAGTTATACTTTTTATGGCTTAAGAGTGGTTTTTTAGGCGTGTGATTTTCAATTGGGCAATACTTTTTCGGAGTTGGTTTTTCCGAAAGTTGTGAATTAATTAATACTTAGTTTGGCTTGCCATTTTATAAAGCAAAGATCAACTCTGAAACAACGGTTGCAAATCGTGAAAAAAACACAAAAGTCATCATCCCATCGATATTGATATTCACAAGTTCCGGGATGATTGAATAGTTACATTTAGAGATCTGAAACTATCGTGCAAGATAGTGTTTGGCAAGCCATCGATAAACTATCCAAATAACATTATAGCCACATGTTTATGTTTTAAACATCCTCTCAGACTCAATTGAAATCGCTGGCGTGCAAAAATACCTTGTCAGAATCATCCGTAATGGTTTTAAAACGCCGTCTAAAACCTGCGGAATTAATAAGGCACACTCTTTAAACTCAATATTAGTTTTTATAAAACATGAAAGATACTTACTTTCCAAAGAATAAGTGCATATGTACAAAGTCAAAATACGAGGATCTGTTGTGGCATCTTTTTGTCGATTCATTATTTTCAAGGTTCCTCTTTTCGTATGCTACTATTGTTAAAATTTCATGCTCAAGATATCTTGCTGCTTCATTTGCTTTGCTAATTCACTGAAACCCCTCTTCCTGGAACCTAGATTCAAATATTTTGTCGCTCCGTAGTTCATATGGTGCTAGTATTTTGGAAACAGATGCTAATAAAATATAACAAATTCATTGGAATTATTATTACGGTGCAGGCTTTCGAATTCAGTTCCTAAACACTTGGAATATATTATAATCAACATTTGCAATACATTTTTCGGTTTATGCTTACCTATCGCTACTTTCCTTGAACAATTTCTTTATAGATCGCATCATTGCCTTAGAGAATAACCCGTGCCAAATTTATCTCGTCAAATGAAAAAGCTATGCATCTACAAGCATTTGATTTCGATAGTTCAGTTTGTATGCCAGCTGTATGCTATATCAATCCGATATAAAAAATTTCTTTGGGGATTTCATCTTTATCTTAAAAAATAACTCATGCTATATTTCGTGAAAATATATCCTCTAATGAAAAAGTTTTCCATACAAGAACTTGATTCCGATTATTCAATTTGTATGACAGTTATATGATATGTTTCGATCCGATATCGGCGGTTCCGACAAATATGCAGCTTATTGGGGGAAAACAGACGAGTGCAAAATTTCAGATCGATTTCTCAAAACATAAGGGACTAGTTTGCGGCGTATATACAGGCAGACGGACCGACGGTCAGATAACTTTCGTTGTGTTTTTTGTGAGTACCTGCCGGCGATGGCCAAACTTCACGGTGCTCAAAAACTCAGCGGATCAATACAATGCGTTGATCAGCACCCCAAACAATGAAAACTATTGCAAGCATTTATTTGGATACCAATTGGAGTGTGGAATGGACACACTAACCACCTTGGTCGGGTACGAGGCCGACCTAAAATATTGAACTGGTATGACGGACGACGGTCAGACAGACGGATATGCCTAAACCGACTCAGCTTATCATTTTGATCATTTATATATATTTACTCTGAACAGGATCGAGAGTATAACAAAGGTTAGCCACAAATCCTCGGACTGTTGATGTGTTCAAGAAGAAATCATGGCTTTACCGCTAAGAGGCTTTATAATAACAAATGTCGAAGCTTGTGTGCACCGCCCACCATTCCCTGAAACCAATAAAATGGTGACTCCCATTTTGAAAATCTCTTAATTAGCGAGTCCACATTTAAAACGGCCAGACTATTTCAATAACTAATGAGGAGCTAGACAAGTTTCATCATCGACGTAATTAACAAAAAGCGCGTGCTGCATTTTAAATGAAAGTCTAAGAAACATAATTACTAAGTCTAGCAGACAGGATTACAAAAAAAAATTTAATTGCATTACAAATATTTATCGGCCGAAATACCTGTGGTCGCACAATTAAAACTACAATTAAAATAGTGTGTAAGTATAATATGTATATGTATATATATGTGTATATACCATATTATATATATGTGTGAGTATGTATATATTTATCAACGACTTTTTCTAAAGGAATGCTGCAGAAGAAAATACATTGCTAGCAAAAGCTAATTTAGAGTACTTTAACACAAAAACAAATATACGCTCACTTTATACTCACACATACATAAACACAAATATTGTGATAATGGTATGTGGCAGCGCGCTTAGACTTTAGTCTGTCTCGCCAGCGGCAATAACATGTCTGAATATCATCTGTCTACCTTTCGTTTGTTTAAGATCCTTTGTCGTTGACTTACCTACTATATCCGTTGTTGTTGTTGCGGTTGTTATTGCCTTCTTGTTATTTGTACAGTTCATTATCATTAACACTGTCACAGCTACCGTTATGGCAAAACATTTATTTGAGTTGTACTTTGTTTATTTGCTTCTGACATTGTTATTATTGTAATTTGTAATTTGACAGAAAAGTAAACAACCGAGCCACGTCGCCCTCATTGCCGACGCACGTGACATACTTTGGCAAGTCGTCACAGGTATTTTGCGCCGAATTTAACATTGCAAAGGGAACAGCATGTGTATGTACATATGTATGTAGTATGAATGCTTGTTAATAATATGTATGCTGTGTTGATTGCTGATTACATAATGAAGAAGCAACATATGCACCCTTATGTTTAAAAGTACAAACATACGCCTGCACTAAAATGTTGTGAGGAAAGTACCCGCGGCCGTAAAAGTTGAAGTTGTTTAAAAATTTGTGAAGAAGTATGCTGATAATAATTTTTTGGATATTGATAAAATTTTATATTTGAGTAAAAGTTACACAGACTAAGCCCTCTTCTCTACACCAAGCGAAGTAGGCGTGGTTGTAGTCCGATTTCGCCCATTGCCATACTGCAACATATAATATGAATTTTAAATTTGGACACCGGCTCCTAAAAAGGCTTCTTGTGCCACCTTGAGTATAAGATTTAACGTCTCTTTCACATTGCATTACATTTTTAGTAGTTCTAACTTATATGGGTATTGGGTATTATTATCCGATTTCATTTACTTTCACACTGTCGGAGGGGATAACAAATTGATTGATTTGGCTTTAGTGCCTTGGGAGATATGTATATTAAGGCAAATAAAGAGCGGAGATACGCCCATTTTGCAAATTGTTTCAAACGGCAGATACCACTCCCTAATGCGATTTGTGAAAAATTTATTATTTGAGGATACTGAATGGACTACAATCATATTTGGTATTTTGTTAACTTATATTGAAGACTTACTTAGTCTCATTGCTATATTTTGCTTCATAGCCGAGCCCAATTAAAAAAAAAAATCATATAATTGTAAGTAATTACACATATTAGGGATATGATGTTTAAATCAAGATCTAAACATTCAAGTATTTATATTCACAGTTAAAACATATTATTTGTAATAAAATATTACATGAAAATTTCACATAGGTTGACCCATACAAACGATTTAAAGTCAGATGTAAACTCGTAAACCATTAAAATGGATATCTAAGGGTGGGGAGTGATCGCATTAACCCTTGGTAATAAACTTAAGTAAGCTTGATATATGGAGCCTGGTGTAATTTTTTGGACATTTTATGCATTAAACTATGGTATATCCAATAATATACGTTCATTTAAGATAATTAACATATAATAGATATTGCTCGAGATATACGGTGTAAAATAAACGGAAAGTTTTGAAGTTTTTATTTTAGCTATATGGCGTTAAGGAAATTGTTACCCGATTCTATCTATTTCTTAGCTTTATTACAAGGAAAAAAACCTCTAAGAATTTTGTGAAATATTTCACATATTGGCTTATATGTAGAGTGAGCTA